TTTTGGGTCCAAGCCTCATCTATTGCCTAGAAATATACTCTTGCTCAAATAACTTGAATTTAAGAAAAAGTCTCCTTTTACCTATCAGGGAACACATTATGTGCTTATCCTTATCAAAAGCCCGCATTAAAAAATCAAAGCAAGTAGCACATACTGTCCTCAAGGACCTGATTTTAAATTAGACCAAACTGCTTCTGTTAATAGCTGGATAATGCATTCTTGGTTGAAAACGACTTTCAGAGAATCAGAGAAAAGTCTAAGCCTAAGAAAAGAGTACTAAGAAGAAAATTTCTAGTCATGGTCCTCTAAATATTTCCTTGGTTGCCATGGGTCAGAGTCATGATAAGGAAGGACAATGTGTAGCAAGCATGGACTTCCTCAGATGCAAGACCTACTCTCTTTGGACACGTGGTACTTAGTGCATGCTATGGAAAAACTGTCCTCAAGTCGATGCTGAGTGATAACAACCCTACAGGATAGGGAAGGGGTGCCCCTGCGAGTTGCTGAGATGGTAACAGTTTAGGGGAGTAGAAAACCATCTTTTTCCTTTGGAGTGAGTGATGGTTTCAAACTGCTGACCTTGTGGATCGCTGCCCAATGCATAACCACTGGTGGAGCTACTTCAGAGCCCCTTGTTTCAAACATGTTGTATCATGATTTGGAGGAAAAGTTGCAGAGCAGATTGCAGATTTTTTTTTTGACTCAACAATCAGACACATTTTAATTGGGTTTGATTGAATTCCCCACAATATCCGCCTTTCAGAGCACCTCAGATCTGAAGCCCATGAACTAGATCTTGAAGCAGAGTATTTGCCAGTTTGTTTCTAGATGTGAATGACCCCAGCATGACCCTATGTCCTTAAAAATCATGATAAGAATGACAGCTGCTTCTGTGTGCATGGACTTTGCTGCTTGTTTAGCACTGTATCAAACTATCTCCCATTCAGTTCTGACAGCCTATGAAGAAACCAACCAACCAAACAGAAAACCAGACTCACTGCTATGGAGCGGATTCTGACTCACAGTGATCCCCCAGGACAGGGTGCAACGACCCCTGTGGGTTTTCTGAGACTGGAAATCTCTAACAGAGTACAAAGTCTCTTCTTTCTCCAGAGGTATGGCTGGTGGGATGGAACTTCTGACCTTGTAGCTAGCTTTTCTTAACCCACAGAACCCCCATGGCAACAGGGATCATTTTATTTTATTTTACTTAAAAAAAATCATTTTATTGGAGGCTCATACAGCTCTTATCACGATCTATCCATTGTGTTAAGCACATTTGTATATTTGTGGCCATCATCATTTTCAATTCATTTTCTTTCTACTTGAGCCCTTGGTATCAGCTCCTCATTTTTACCCCTCCTTCCCCGACCCTTCCTCCTTCAAGAACCCTTGATAATTAATAAGTTATTATCTTTTCATGTTTTACACTGACCTATTTCTCCCTTCACCCACTTTTCTGTTGTCTGCCCCCCCAGGGAAAGGGTAATATGTAGATCATTATGATCGATTCCTCCTTTCTCCTCCCACCTTCCCCTTCCCACCCTGGTATCATTATTCTCATTGTTGGTCCTGAGGGATTTATCTGTCCTGGATTCCCTGTGTTTCCAGGTCTTATCTGTATCAAAGCAAATGCTCTGGTCTAGCTGGATTTGTAATGTAGAATTCAAGTCATGATAGTGGGGGGAGGGAAGCATTAAAGAACCAGAGGAAAGTTGTATGTTTCATTGATGCTGTCCTGAACCCTGACTGGCTCATCTCTTCCTTGGGACCCTTCTGTAAGGGGATGGCCAACTGTCTACAGATGGGCTTTGGGTCACCACTCTGTACTCCTCCTCATTCACATTGATATGATTTTTTGTTCTGGGTCTTTAATGCCTGATACCTGACCCCCTCGGCACCTCATGATCACACAGGCTGGTGTGCTTGTTCCATGTGGGCTTTGTTGCGTCTCAGTTACATGGCCACTTGTTTATCTTCAAGCCTTTAAGACCCCATACTCTATATCTGTTGGCAGCCTGGCACCATCAACTTTCTTCACCACATTTGCT